ACTCACCATACCAGAAACATACAGCCAATGCTATATTCAGTGATATTTTCATGAATGAATAGATGGAGCTGAGGGGATGAGTAGGGGCCACAGAATTGTAAATGGGCCTCACAGCATTTAAGAACGCAATTATAAGGAATTGGAAGCCAGGAGGAGGCCATAGGCACGCCAGGGCTCAATATGGTCCCAAAAAGTCGAAATAGGTGTCACACAGGAAAACTGTTCCATCTTTCAGACTTACTGAAGCACAAATTGAGTTTGATAAAAGAAAGTTTGATGATCTTACCTGTTCTTGGACAGTTTTCAATAAGGAAGCAGAAGACTCATTATGTAGATGTGATGTAGACTGGTTATTTCCTAAATACGAAGTCATTAGTAGTATTTTATTTTTCCATAAATTCACTTAAAATAATATATCCTTTATAAGTATACTCCTTGTAACTTCTTTATATCTAAAACAAAAGAAATACAATCAGTCAGAGTAAGATAAATAATAACCTGCTGGAAAACCAAAATAGTAAACTATTCTCCATGTGTAATGATTGCAGTGAAGAAGAATCTCATGAATTTAATCTGTCTAAATCATTGTTTATTCTTCGACTGAAAAATTGTTGCAGTTTATACTTGTTACCAAAACACCTATGAAAAATTGGAAAAGTTTGACAAATAAGTCTCTATATTGAGTTTTACAGACAGATGTTCATATTTTCATAGCAATTTCATGTGGCAATGGCGCTTCTATTATTTGGTGCCTGCAAGTTGAAGTTCCTTCTGAACTACAACTTAAAGGGACAGATTATCCATTTTGGGGGTTGATTTGAATATATGTAAATAGTCTTCATAAGTATTAGAAATGTAAGAAAATCACATAATTCCTTCAAAAATATCTCAAACTATGAATTTCTTTCCTATAGATGTCTTTTCTATATATCACAGAGTATCTTAAAATTACGAGTCCTCAACCTGGATAACTCTGGACACACATGGATTTGAAAGCTCAAATTTGGATGATGAGCTGTGAACACTTAGCTTAGCTTAAAAATTCCTGTTTCTGAGACTAAAGTTCAATTGGTCAATGTCGCATCTGTCCCTTTAGTTGTCTCCGTTTCAGTCCAACATTATGATGCATTATGGTGACAATAAAATTCCCTTATTGCAGGATTTTGAACATGGCCAATACCATACATCACTTTTTCATTGTTTGGTCCTTAGATTATAGAAAATCTCTCTATACTGGTACATGGATTGTATGTAATGAAATCTCTTAATCTCTTTAAATAATAATTTATCTTTAGATTAACAGATGCATTGCAAAGGATAAGCTATTAACAAAATATGCCTCAAAACTACCTTGTTTATTCTGAAATACTTTGTGTGTAAATTAACAACTTACAAGTAATAAGTAAATGACCCAGTTAAGCTGTTCAAAAAAATTCCTATGAAATTACAACTGTAAATGTATACAAAAAACAGATGGCATTAACTCTTTTTCTATAAAAATCTTGTAATTTCTGTAACATTATCACAGAATTTAGTGTGGTTTAAATACTTGTAACAGGTGTAGAAGAAAAATTTACAGGTCTGTTTGTGAGTTAGACAGGAATTTTATACCAGTTGCCATAGATATTTTATTTTCAGATTTAAAGTCAATGCAAGCCTATGTGGCTCAGTAAGTTGTCTAGTGGGTTTCTGCTGTCAATAAGATGGAAGAATGTTAAAAATATGAAATATTTATGATGCACTACAGCAACCAACTAAAAAGAAGTCCACATATATTTGACGCTAACATATTTTGACACTTTACAATTATATAATTGAATTCAGAAATATTAATTTGTATCATGTTGTTACTCCGAGTTTCACGCTATGCGATCTTCAGATAAATGAATTGAATTAAAACAACTCTTAATCTTATTAGATTGATAATGATTGCATAGATTCTATTTTTGGAGAGTTGAAATTTGCAAATTATCAGTCCCAGCAACAATTAATAAGTTGGGGTTTGTATTGCTTAAAAATAAAAAGTAGTCAATCAGGCAAAATGAATTTGAAGAGATCTTATTATGGTTTTTTAGTCTTTGTCCAGTATTAGTATCACTGGCACCAAATTGTCTGTCTGATGTCACAAGATCACTGTGCAAGAAAACATCTCTTTTCAATCTTAAAGAAATCAAATTCTCTGCGTGTAGAAATGAGAATGAGTTGTATATTGATTAAGTTAAGAAGAAAGTCATTATTTGATAGAAATATAACAGGTTCAACTCATCTATCATAAAACAGAAGTATTAATGGGTTATGTTAGCAGTCTAGCAGATTAGATTCCATATACAGTTACTTTGGTCTGTCCTTTCTGAAAAGCTGGCTTGAAACCTTAAAGAAAATGTTATTGACCAAATACGGAAATCTATCAAGTATATGATTATATTTTGCTTCGTTTGATTATTGTCCTTTTTTTTCTTTCAAAATTCATTCTCTTTCATTTAAATGTATGCCTTAAAATATGGTGTATTTTGGTATGGTATGGTGTTAAAATTTTTAACACACAAACTTGCTAAAAACTGTATATTATTGGTTCCTTATTTCTGGAATATTTCCAGACCTACATAATACATAGATATAAATGCACTGAGTTCACTGATAAAATATTATACTTAAATAAACTGGTGTAAGCTTGACAAAGCTCAAGTATGGTACTGTCATATTTTGTATGCAGAGCTGAGAGAATAAATAATCCCACTCTAACAGGGCCCTGAGACTCATGGCGCTATGACAAATTCAAATATGAAAACTGGTGCTTTAACTAATGTACCAGTATTTGAGAAACCCTGGTTAAATTCTTTGCTTTACCAGATGATAGGATAATAGAACTTGATTCATGCTCTACCTGTATTACAAACGTCTATCAAAAATTATTGATTTAACAAGAGTCGAAATTCACTAGATTCCTGAATTCATCTTGAGCACTTGATATGATTTAATTTATAAAATCAAAGTAACATGAAGTAACCACACGCATTTGAGGAGAGGTAAACTAACTGGTTGCTTGCTAGCTTGATCAATATAATCTGGATTGGTCATGCTGATTATGTACTAGATTAGGATATATGTGGAAGCTTCTTAATCAGTAATTAGGAAATTTCATTCCTAACTAGCACTTAATTAGTACAAAATATAACTTTGCACGGTGTCTAATGGTTCACTGAAAATAATGAGTAAGTTTTTCACTGCTCACATGTATATGGAAATTCATACCTCAACTATTGAACTGCAGTGGCAGTAGACCTATCTAATTTTATCTTATTGTGGTCCTTTAAAGTTCAAATGTTCAATACATTTAAATTTTGAAGACTTTTTAAAAATAAATGAATGCTCCCTATTCTTTGCAATTTATAAATTTGCCAACTTTCACATATATGATATAAAAAGAAAGACCTACAACTTGGGGCAACAACCCTTTGTAAATATGATTTCTGATCGCTTGCCAAATTTGGTGGTATAAAAGTCAGAAGGACAGTGGACTTGTAAGAGTTGTATTGTTATTTGGTGTGCCAAATAATACAACTCTATGTTGGTCTATGAAAAAGAAAAATTATTCAATGAAATACCAACTTTGTTCTTGAAGAAAGCACTTTATTACATTTAAAGCTTTGATTTATAGGTCAACTTTTTCTACTTTTAATAACTATATATTACAGATTAGCAAGAATAAAAAATAATGTACATGTATTGTGGCACATCTGAACACAATAGTATAATAGCTAAATTTGAGCTATCTGTAAGCCTATCATGTTTTGAAATGAAATATGATGTCTGAATTGCCTACAGTTTGAGAAAAACATACCAGTATCAGCCACTGACATGACATTCATCCACAAAGTTTATTGTTGCTTTATTACTGGCATTGATAATATCTCTATGAAACTATGATAACATAAAAGAAACAGCTCATTAGAGTGTTTTGAAATGACAACGATATAGCATATCTTCCACAGGTTGCATTGCATTTGTCATTACCTAGTCGAAATAGGTTTAACATCACAGGTTCATGTATACCGGTACATATTTATGGATAATCATTATCCCTATAGCTAAAGTGAATGTCGGTCCATGTCTTGTCTTAAATTGCAAATAGGCCTGGATCTACTAATAATATCTACACAACAAAATATTTCATAAGCCTGTTGACTGTGTTGTTAGGCCTAGTTTACTTATTTAGACAGTTTAGCAGTTGCCAAGAAAATATGTAGACCTGCTGCACCGTACTGTAGATAAAATGCTATAATTACATAGAAGCGATGAGATAAAGGCTAACATTGTCAACTATGCCTATGACTGATGGATAAAATTAACTTCAAATCAAAATTCTGTCGAATCTATTTAGAGTCATAAATAAATAAATGTTTATCACACAAAGCCTGCAGACTGCACTCTTGATGAAATCGTGGATGAGCCAAATTCCCCAAATTATAATGCGGTTTCAACCTTGAAGTCATAAGTTAACGTACCATAAAAATTAAAGTTAAATCCAATTAATAAAATGCGATCGGTTTGCAGACAAAAAACTGTTCCAAATAAACATTCCGATGTACCTTCCCAGCTGTCAATCAACGTGAACCGGTCTGTAAGCTATTGAATTTAATGATTTTACTCCCTTTGTGACATCTGCAAAATTACTGATTTTCAAGACAATTTATTAGATGATTGACCACCACTATCGATTTTCAATCATAATATGCCATATTTTGTCCAATACAGATAACTCCACTCACTGGCTTGGCGGTATGCACAAGAAAAAATTCAATATTTGTATCTTACCAAAGGAAAACAGGTGCGTGAAAGCAGACTGATCAGCCATCTTATCATCCAAGGGACACAACTTCCTTTTCGTTAATTTTTCTTCAGACCACAGCGAAGTCTTTTCCATATGCAGTACTTGTCAAAGGGAGAGAATCCTACTTCTATCAGACCACAATTGTTTGAAAAAGTCGCTGTTTTCAAAGATGGCAGCCTCCATTGAGTTACGTGTTTTAGAGTTGTACAGTGGCATTGGTGGGATGAATTATTCATTGAAAGGTGATTAGGCTACACATTTTACAAGATACTAGTTCTGCTTTAAAGTACTTAGTACGCCACCAGAAGTTATTTTATTTCGATTATTTAATTAAATATTTTTTTTAAGGGAGATAACTACTGTTTTATTTTTTTTTTTGTATATCAAGACAACAAAGAAATCTTTTTCTAAACTAGAAGGATGCATTTTTATGTCAAAACTTCATTTACCTGTTTTGTAAAGCCAATTTTGGTTTTGACATTAATAGAGGAAGTGATCATTGTCTTATGAACTGCATTTATTGGTGACTTTTTAATAACTTTGTCACCATAATAACATCCACATCCAGTTTTGATGCTCCCTTCAGACTTTAAAATAGTTCTAATCATTATTACTCAAGGAGTTAGCAAACAAATGGAATATGCTGCCATCGACATTATAGTCAATAAGATATAAATACGATGAATTAGTTTGAATCTGGCCCTAACTCCCATAAATGGAGTAATTGTAAATTTGCACCATCTTAAGAGGGGTAGAGAAGTTTAGCTTTTATTCCAGTTAAATTCCAGGATTCCCATAAGTTAATTGGCACATTCTCTAGATTTTCAAATGTAGAAAAATGGCAGGATTATCATGCTTTCATAGAGGGTTACATTTTCATACTCACAGCACCAAAATATTATAAAGAAGGACTATAAATTGTAGTATTGTAGTATTCAAACCTAGTAATAGATTTTTTTAATTATTCATTTCATAGAAAGTGGAGTGAAATATGAAATAATTGCTGCAATAGATATTAATACAACAGCTAATCAGATTTATCAACATAATTTTCCTGACCATAATTTAATGGCATTCGGAATTGAGGTAAGAATTACTAACATGATTGATTAGTCCCTATTTATCATTTTTAAAGGGATAAAGGCCTATAGTCCTTAAACATTTACTTGCTATAGCAATTCTGCTATCTGATCTTCTGCTATCTTGCAATTAAAATGTTTAAATGTAGGTTTTTGTTGAGTTGACAAACTTGGCTTTAGGTTTTAATTTTGTAAAGTGATACAGATTGCTGAAAATGAACCTTCCATTTAAATCAAGTACGTACTTAAACAACAGTATCCATTAATGTTATTTCTAGAAATTAACATTAAAACAGTATGAAAAGTGGAATATAAATACTATATTAATGAGTCCACCATGTCAACCATTTACTAGAGTTGGTAATAAAAATGATGTTAATGATATTAGAACTCAGTCATTTCTTCATATATTACAGTTGATACATCAGTAAGTAAAAATATATATTCAATATTTCATTTGTTCCTAAAACTATTAAACTTGTAAACTCTTGCAAGTTAACTTTGTTGTGTAGCCTGGTTACAAACAGAGGAGTTTTTCAAATATTCTGAATGCTCAAAATTACAAGGATATTACTAAGTTTTGATTCCATTCAATTTCCACACATTATGTTCTTTCCAGATGTAAAGAGAAACCAAGTTATATTTTGGTTGAAAATGTGAAAGGATTTGAAGAATCTGAAGCTAGAAATAAGTTAATTGAAATGCTTACAACTAATCATTACCATTATCAGGTTAGTTTGACTGGATTGTAAAGGGAATTAGATTACAATTGTATTTTTATCTCTAGTGTTATCTAACAAGTTTTCTACTGTCATTCTATGTTTTATCACAATCAGATCAAACTAAGCTTGAACTACCTTCACATGTCAAGTTTGAAGATTTTGGCTGTCAAGGGCAATTACTGAACAACATTGAAAATAGTAGTGTTTTGAGGTGGCTACAGGCTGCCACAGGTGCAAGGTAAATCATCTATCTATGGTATCCTCAAAATTTCAGGACTGTACTACAAATTTAATTGTTTTTTTACCCATAAGGGCAAAAGGGCAAATTATGTTCACCATAATTATAAACAGTGTAGGTCATGGTCAGTTTTCTTTACCCCTTGTGGGAAAAAGGGGCAAATTTTGGGGGGCAACTGATCCCATCATTCCACTAGAATTTATTGTCAGTTTTTATCCCATTATGATGCAGGTTGTTGAGCTTCATGTCACAAAAATTTGGAATATGTAGCTTTTAGGGTAAAAATATTTTACCCCTATGTCACAAAATGGGGTGATTTTGGGGGCTAGCTGACCCCCTTTTTCCACCAAGATATTTTGTCAGTTTTTGTGTTTTTTATCTTCTCATGAAATTTTTCTTATACTGTAATAATTTGGCATGTGTAGCTTTTGGGGTAAAATTGACCCATGTTGGGTGACTTTTTAGGGGCAGCTGACCCACAAACCCCCCAAAATATTTTGTCAGTTCATATTGTTTTGAGTTTTGAATATATGTGTAGTAACATAACCAATGTATTAACAAGTAGCTTAAATGTTAAAATAAACCTCTTTCAAGGGTTTTTTGACATACCCTGGGGGCCACACCCACCGGATCTGTACCAGCTGAGGCACATTTTTTCAATGTTTGTCATAGTTCTAATTCATTGAAACCATCTTACCTTCTGGGTTTTTTGGGGTAAAATCACCCGTAGCTAGCTCTTGGACTAAGTGTATAGAAGAAATATAAAAATAGAATGGTAATGCCATAATCTTGTTCACTGCATGACACCACTAGTCTTCTTCAAAAGACAACAAAATCTATTTTACTTATTTTCATTCCTTGGAGAAAAAAATATGACTTCAAAATATACCTATCTAATAACATCAAAACATGTAAAAAAAAATATAACTACAAAATATACCTATCTAATAACATCAAAACATATAAAAAAAAATATAACTACAAAATATACCTATCTAATAACATCAAAACATATAAAAAAAAATATAACTACAAAATATACCTATCTAATAACATCAAAACATATAAAAAAAAATATAACTACAAAATATACCTATCTAATAACATCAAAACATATAAAAAAAAATATAACTACAAAATATACCTATCTAATAACATCAAAACATATAAAAAAAAATATAACTACAAAATATACCTATCTAATAACATCAAAACATATAAAAAAAAATATAACTACAAAATATACCTATCTAATAACATCAAAACATATAAAAAAAAATATAACTACAAAATATACCTATCTAATAACATCAAAACATATAAAAAAAAATTATAATATTCAAAATTTATCACTACATGCTAAATACTAAGAATTATTCAAACTAGGCCATGACTTTCAAATTTGTGTTTTGCCAGTACAATATCAAATTTCAATATCTAAACATGATTAAAAAAAACCATGGATTGAGTAGAATACATGGAAAGTGAAACCAAAAAAAACAGGCCTATTCTATCATGTGCTTCAAGGTTAGAATTACAAATACATGTATAAGGAATCCATCCAAAATCAGTTTTGTGTTCCCATTTTTGCTTTGTGAGGATTCAGTGATATCAGGGTTGTCAGTATTGGTAGTAGACTTGATTGTTGTGGTCGTTTTAATGCAATCCTCTGGTTCAATAAGTACTGATGATTTACAATAGAGATCATGACATTCTCTTAACTCATGAGCTCTTACAAATGCTACAGAAGTGACATTTCCATTAATCTTTGTAAGATTTTCTTGAATGTCACACACAATTTCTTTTAAGAATGTTGAATAATCTTTTTCATTGTTGTTTCTGTTATTATGTTCAGTTATGAAAATGGACACATAAAATTGTTCATAGATATAAAGCTTTTGGTTGTATATAACTTTTATATCATTATAAAAGGTTTGAAAATACCAAAGAATATTTTTCTGGTCCCAGCCAAGTTTTTCAGCTATGTAGTTCCCCAATTCATTTGATAACATCATATAACGGAACTCAAAATTACTTTGACTAGATCCTTTAACAGGTAAATCATTGTACCCTAATTTCATCCTCAAATATTTCATAGATTTTAAAGGTATGGATGTGTTACCAGTATAGTTATCACATCTACGAACTATATTTAACATCTCTGATGAAAACCTAGAGGCTGATGGCATTTCTATGTTCTTACTAGTTTTGAAACTCCACAACAATTCGAAAATATCTTTCAAGTCCAACATGCAGATAGATAACTTTGGATCATTCTTATTTCGTCGTTTGGGTTCATTGTAACATTTAACTCTAGAATCTGCTGCCTTTTGGTTGATGTCAAAACAGCTGTAAGAATATGCCGGTCTTATTGTGTGAATCAGGGCAAATTGTAAACAACTTTTCATAGCTCCTATCCATTGTCTTGCTTTACCTGTTACAAAATTCTGAATTTTAGACGCTGTAATTCCAAATTCTCTAGAAATTCTGATACTTAGGTCATTGGGACAGTTGTATTTTTGTTGAAGACATCTGCTGTACCAACTATCATCTGGTACTGATGGTGCATAACAATAGGATGGTAATGTCAAGTATGATTCATCACGAATTTCCTCCTTACTACATTTACATACTGTTGGTACTGGATACATAGCAGAATTATCATATAGTTCTGATGTACAGCTAAATAAACAGTAGTTTGATGGACATTTATATTTTCGTTGACTCACATAATGTGAGGATAAACAGGTTTTCCAGACATATCTTCCATTTACATAGACACATTTCATAGTCCCACTAGGTCCAGAACTTTTCAAGCACAAACTTTTCACACCAGCTATTTGTATTGTTATCCACAAGATACTAAATAAAAAAATAACTTGGTAGTTGAGATTCAAATTCCCATCCATACTGATTTCTCAAAATATAAAGATTTGTGATCCCTTAGTGATAAAAACTGGTTATCCTATCCTCACTGTTATTTTGACTACGGTACTGATCTATATTCAGGTAGTTACACGTATTTAATTCAACATCAAACAATTTATCTTATACTGATAAAACTAATATTGTGAAATACCTTAGTTACCTCATCTTTATCTGTTTTGAAGAGAGACCCAGATCACTTTATTAAGTAAATTTCCATTGAAGAATTAAAGTGAAATATGATATTCTATATATTACAACATACTGTGGTGACCTTAGTCAATGAAAGTATGATATAAAAAGATTTTTGTGTGGCCAGGCCTCAGAGGCTACAGTTCTATCCTATTTTTTTGATTTGTTGTATGCATATATATATTGGTGAGATTTCAGACAATATTTGCCATATCATGATGAAAGGTTTTTGAGTTATTGCCCTTGTCTTATCCAAAATATATAATGATTGACATGTGAATGTGATAGAGTCTACAGTTCTGATAACATTGTATGCATATTTTCATTTGTGAGATAATTGACCTAATTGATATTTTTGAGTTTTTGATGAATACTTTTTGAGTAATTGACACTGACTTGGTCAGAATACAATTCAATACATAATATTTGGCTTTTGAATGCAAAAGAATATATAGTTTTGGATTGACTAAAACAAATTTGTTGATTTCTTTTCAGTTTAAGATTTTTTATTTTTTGCAATTTAGCAACACTATTGATTCTTATCTTTAAATATCTTATATTACTATCTTCATTGTCATAATATGAATTAGTACTTTTGTATTTATTTGTAGGAGTTTTTATTGACCCCCCTACAATTTGGTATTAGTAACTGTAGATTACGATACTATATGATTGCTAAATTACAAACAGTTCAGTTTTTATTTACACCATCTAGTAAGGTAATGTATTTTTAGTTTAAATTTTTTTAGATTGAATATACAGCTACATAGCCATGGCATATACAGGCACATAGTGTCATGGAATAGCCATATACAGAGACATATTTTCATGGAATAGCCATATACAGAGACATATTTTCATGGAATAGCCATATACAGAGACATATTTTCATGGAATAGCCATATACAGAGACATATTTCCATGGAATAGCCATATACAGAGATATATTTTCATGGCACTTTTCTTCCATAATTTATCTCTGTATATTTTTCTATTTCAGATTTTAACATCTATACCAAACTGTCCTGAAGAATGGTTGAAATATCTACAGTGTAGTGAAGAGACAGACAATCCTGTTTCTAATAAATGGGACCAATTCGAATCTTGTGATCAAAATATCCATCAAGAGGATATTGAAACAGACTATATCTGTGATAAATGCCTCAAATTAAAGTATTTTTTAGAAAGTAAAAGTGATGATTATTTTCAAGACTATTTAGTGGAGAAGAAAGATTTTAAATGGTTCATTGTCATGGACATTGTTCACCCTGGTTTGAAGAAATCAATGTGTTTTACTAAAAGGTAATAAAATTAGATAAAATCTGATATACCATTTCAATTTTTATTTGGCTCTAGAATTGTTGTATTGAGCACTATTGAAACAGTGAATATATTTTATTATTGTAGGTATGGTCATTATATAAATGGTGCTGGACCAATTTTACAAATGTCACATGACTTAAGTGTAAGTATATATTACTAATAAGAGTCATATAGTTGGAACTTTATTCAGCTGTATTGACAAACATAAGTAACTACAGGATATCAGACTAAAAACTAGCAGGCTGGTTGGTTTACGTCAGCTTCTAAGCAGACTATCACAGACTAGTTAGTTGTTGGTATTGTTGGTTTGGTAAAAACTAGGTGTTTTGATTAGGGTTTTTACCAAAACAGCTGTTGGCAGCATGAGATTTTATCATTTACTAAGGATACATCATTATCAAATCTGAAACGTCAGCCTGTCTGGTTTCTTTCAGGATTTTAAAGCAGCCTGTGATTTGAAAACAAAAATAACCACTTTAAATTCTCGTGATTTCTGGACAGAAGAAGAAACTAAAATAATTGAGAAATTAAAACTACGATATTTTACTCCAAGAGAAATTGCCAATTTACTTTGTTTTCCTTCTAGTTTTAGTAAGTATTGACACAAAATTTCATTTCTTTGTTTTATCTGGAAATTTGAGGGGAAACAATGACAGTATCTAATGTTTTCAAAATTGAATTCCACAGCAAATCATACCAATTGTTTCACAGTGATATGTTTTATACCGGATATCTATGAGTTGTCACATAAAAGAGGTAACTGAAGGGAAGACAACAATAAAAAACTGTTTCTAGAGCTGATAATAAAATGTGAACAATTCTGTATCCTAGATAACTCCTTGGGAAAATTAATTGAGTCCCATTTAATACCAAAAATGATGGCCTTACATCTTTACAATCTTACATTTGATATCAATAATTAAGACAGCAACTAAAACAGTCAAACATTACAATTCTGCTCTGAACAAATTTATATTATTTTGACTATAAAATACTTCTATACTGTTAACTGAAGCATCCTTGAAAGTTTCATGATACTTATGTAGTTAAATTGCCCTTTACTTTGTCTCCAGAATGTCTCAAAATTAGGAAAAGTGATTCTATGCTTAATGCATTATATACATCATCAAATGATCATACCTTAATCTAAAAATGATTTTTATGTTATTTTTCAGGTTTCCCTGATAATCTGAGCAGAATTCAACTTTATCGTTGTCTTGGTAACAGTTTAAATGTCCATGTAGTATCTATTTTAATAAGATTGCTTGTATTAGAAAAATATGCATCTTGATATTTTCTTTTGATGAACTCATAGTGGAATCTGAATTGAAGAGAAAACACAAAACAGAACATTTGTATCTGTATTTTAAAAAGATTGTTATAAATTGTAGCAAAACTGGTATGGGAATTATGAAAGCTATGGGTAATATATTTACATTCAAATGTAAAAAGTGGGGTATTAGCACGACCTATATACCGGTAACCGCACCCCATATGACAGGGGCACCCAAATACTACAGTTATCTATTATTATCATGTTATTATTATAAGAAAATGTATTATTGGGAACACGTAATTTTATTTACAATAAATATGTTTATTAACTGAATCAATATTGACACTAAATGTTAATTATAACCCAGTTACAAGGACAATATATCACATCATTGGTATTGGTATATTGTAATCTTTTCAAGTTGGATTACCCCTTTAAGGAGATAGTTTACCAGGCAATAAGCCCATTGGCAGGCTGTGTTTTTAAATAAGAATATTTAACAGAATGGTAATAATCACCAATATGAAATATCCAACATAAGTCATAGCCTACTTTAATTTAGATCTCTAACAATCAAAACTGTGAAAAGACTGTTTGTTTATTTTTATAATGCTGAATAGACTTCTGCTCAATTTGTCAGACACAATTGAGAATTAAATATTCAAATATGATCAATACAAATTGACTGCTATTTCTATTTGTGTTAAAGGTAATGCCCAGCCTTTTTTTGTACTATTATAGGGTGAATGGGCTTGACATGCTTAAACACAAATTTGAAAAAAGTTTAATAAAGACATTCTGCATTTACAGGGATGCTGTAGTTAAATATTTTCTCTTTTAGATGATATACATGTAGTTTAAATTCTGCTCTGAACAAGTTCTGAGCTTTGACGTCATTAAATTGTATTTGCAATTGGAAATTACTAAATATCCTGGCCACATATTCTCGAAACGATCTTAGCGCTAGGATGTCCTAGGTTCTTATCTTCTAACATTGATTCTGGGATATCCTAGCGCTAAGATCGTTTCGAGAATACATGGCTTGGACGTGACAGCAATCTATTTATATTGAATTGAATGAGAACTGGATCCTGCATAAGGATAAGGATAGCTGAAAGAACTCAATCACCTGATAAAACAAATATTTAGACAACAATATCCTATTGTATGATAATGACATCACCATTCATGTGTATGTCAGTGAGAGATATCATTTTATGTTTAGAACACCACCAATTTCATCACTTGAACTCGAGAGCTTGGACTGCCCCTCTATATTTCAATTTCTGTTATCATTAAAGGGAATTAATTCTGTGACCTGTACTCCTCATCTGAATATTCATAGAAATGCCCTTGTTCTTATGGTCTGGTAGAAATTGTCTTAAATATTAAAAGACTAAATACAGAGTCTAGCATTCAAAAAAATATTCAATTAGTCTCGGCATTACCCTTTAAACCACTTACAAATGAGATCTTTATAAAAAAGGTGAAATTCCTTTAATCTCTATGATCAATACTAAAAAATAAAATATAATATAAAGCATATATTATAAAGAATTGAATAGTAGGGTATATAATATGAGTTTATAAAGAATATTTGAATATCTAGTATAGTGTATATCAAGTATTTTAATGGTGTATTAAAGCTGTGAAGAATAGAGAGTCAAGGAGAATAAAGTATTAAATAAAAGTATTTGATTAGCTCATACTTCATAGAGTTGTAGTGGACTATTGAAATTCTAGTGGTCTGTCCAATCTCTAGTGGACTTTTATAAAGTTTAATGATATAGAGATCTCACCACTTCAAACAACTGGGTTATTCCCTGAATAGTTCTTATACAACAGGTAGGCTTCAATTTTTTATTTTTTTTAATAGAGTGAATGTAGGGATATTTTCTTACTTTACAGTGAATTACACGGTTTACTCTCCAGTCTAATTACAAGTGTTTAACAAAATGTGTTTTAAAAAAATGCGAACTTAATTAAAAATCATTTGAATATCATTAAATTTTGAAGTAAATACGAATTTTTTTTTTTTAAATATTTAGAAGTCAATTTTTTAGTTTTTTTGAGTCAAAATAGTTTCAGCATATAAATATAGTGTGTATTCTGCTTTTTGGATATAACACACAAAACAGAAATTTCTTGTTCTCTCCATGTTGTTTTAGCTTTGTCATTTTATGATGGCAAATGATCAGATCAAAATGACCATAAGAATCATGGTTTCCAATTTTGTTTTTTTTGCCATGATACATTCTTACTTTATAATAATGTGATTCTGATTTGTTTTTGTGGTTTGATACACCAATTTTAGAAATTCCTTATAAAAAAAATACATAATGTCAATCAATTATGAACTGAATGTAATAACTTGCCTTCAATAGCCACCTATCTTGTATCATGTAAGTTTGTAAATGCAGCGATTTGATTGGATTGTATGCTAATAACTACTGCCAATCAGTACAAAAAAACTGTAAACAATTTGACTGTGTGTGTAATCAGGGGCTATGATTGTCTGAATTTGCTAATGTACAATCCAATCAAATCATTTACAATCATCTTAAATACAAGAAAGGTGGCAATTGCAAGCAAGATATTAGACACAGTTTGTAATAGCTTCACATTGTCAAATTATCAAGTTGTATTTTCACACCCATTAAGTTAATATGACATGAAATATAATCCATTAACAAAACAAATCCTAAGATTGAAAACAGAAAAGTTTGAACTTGATTTGATTGACATAAAACATTAAAGATATATTGACAATAGAGATATTGTATTGGTACAAAGTAATGTACTATGTCAAAAACTTCTTGAACATTAAATGGTCTTTAGTAAATCATTTTAATTCATTCGATCATTTATTTTCTAATGTTCAATTTCATATTTATTCTTTTCAAGTTAAAGTACATATACTTGAAGGCATATAGTTATGGTATTATTTCAAAATTAACAGTTGACTTAAAGCAGTTTACAAAATATGAGTTATAGATAGAAAATCTATTTTCTTGTTCTAAAAAATCACTTTTATTGTTGACAAGATTTGAATTTGATCCAGATTTTCAAGATAATTTTTCAATATTTTCCACTTATAAATTGTGAAATATTTATTTTGAAAACTACATTTGTTACAAAGAAAAACAAATTACTTTTTATTCATTTAATGGATTTTATAAAACATTATGCTAGGAAATCGGATATTGAATTTTACTCTGAATTCATATAGATATTCCATAGATTTTTATTACAGTATAATTTTATAATTTCCTTCCAATATTATTCTAAGTTCCTGGTAACATTTTAAAGTATAATTACCACATTAGTCATTTTGATTAAACTTTTTTTAAGACATGATAATCTAAGCCAACATGATAACTTGAGTGGATTCATGTATTTTCAAATATTTATTAAATACCTAAAAATGATGATATTTATTTTTATTTTAAGGTTATAGTTTAAACAGCTTTCGAAAAATATTCAATTGATTTGCAAAAACATATCTTAAAAAAATAATTTTCTTTGTTTTAGAAAAATATCTAATTAACTTTAGATTTTTTTTGGAATATCTCATTTATAGAGGAAAAATATATAAATAGTTTAAATAGGCATTTGATATTAGCAAAATATCCAAATTGTTTTAGAAAAATATTCAAATGGTTAAAGAAAATTATTCAAATCATTTCAGAAAATCTGAAGGATTAAAAGAATTATCTTAATGATATTATAAAAATATCTTTTGGTCATAATTGATATAATTTTACTTATATTTCAGAATGTCTGACCATAGAGAAAAGAATGGTAAAGAAGAAAAGGAAACAGTGCTACCAAAATTACAAACAGGATTTAAACCATTTAATATGAATTATTTACAACATCCTCCAAGAATTAAACCAAATTATGGTAAAAAGAAGGTTCAAATTTTACCCAAAACCAACGTGACCCGAGTATTACTGTATGACAATATGACACAGCAACAAATGTTAGATGTGAAATTAGCTAATATACGAATAGAAAAACATCGAACCATAAGAATGATGGATTTACATACAAGATCATTTGCCATGCAAAGGATGAAAAAAATGAGGAGGATGTTTAAAACTGAAATTGACAATTTGAATAAAAAGAATATGACGTGGCTTGAATTTCCAGAAGAATCTAGATCTGCTGAAGGACATGCAGATGTCAAACTTCCAAAAATTTCTTCGCGCAAAAGTTTAGGCAATATAGAAACAGTGAATGGTATAACTCAAATGTTCAATACTTTTGGAGTCAGTGAAAAAAGTCAACAACCAGTGGGCATCAAGTATAAAAAATCTGTGAAAGATCCACGATTTGTGTGTTTAGAGAAAGGATTAGTTAATCTTGATAATCCCAGTGATGGATATGTAGAATTGAGTCCCAGTTTTGTTAAAGATTATTCCAGTATTTCTAGAAGTATATCTCGTATTGGACTTGTTCCCATGGTTACTGTTGATACACCTGCAGACACTGCAGACTAATATTTCATCTTCAGAAATTACCAAACTAACATCTTACTACAGGTTTAGACTCTGGATTATATTCAGAGTTGACATTGTGGTTTCTGAATTTTATTATGTCAATCATTTTGACTAAAAACATCAACGCCAAAATAGTACTAGGCTAGGAGTTTAGGGTTTCTTTGGTATGTACCATAGTAAAGTGTGTTTATTTCAATTATTAAATAATTATACCTTACATGTGTATTTCTATAGACCGTAAAGAACCCAAAAAATTGATTTCATTTGAAAATTATATAGTTTGTAGTTGTCAAAATTGACCCTTTTCAAGTCACTTAAATATAAACAGTAGTCAGAGAAATGGTTTTATGAGGACAATTATATAATACATACTTGGCCTTGATACTGATCTTTTAAAAATCACATTATTATTTAAATAACCTTCAGTTAAAAATAGCTTAAAATGTCACACCTTTATATGCATATCCAACAAACGTGTTTTTCTCTTGTTTGCTCTCAATGTGATAGATGGTACAATATCATTATCAACAACCCCTCCCCAGCCTCCTGCTAATGCCTTTCCCATACCACCACAAAATCAATCATAGGAGTTGATATTTCATAAACAAGAAATTTATAATAGTTGGAATGTATTAAATAAAACTATCACAAAAAACATGGACGGAAATAAAAATATACCATTAATATTTGAACACAAAAAATATACTTAACAAGCACATCAAATTATAGACAATTGTAGAGTTAAATAATTAAATGGATGGATAGGTTCTTTATAAAGTATTATTTGTACTGTCAGTGAAAAACAGTGAGTGTCAATCAAAAAGTCGTAAGCCTCATCCAGAGGGAGATTCATCTGCAAATTGGATTATCAATAACCTTATAACATCTATACAATTGGTTTCAGCTTTTCATCTCTGATATTGCCAAGGCTTAAAACTTTTTGAATGACCCTCATAAATCAACAAACAACTTTTCTGAGCTCAACTGGAATACTATTGTAACTTGTGTTTGTTTGATTGACATCTACAACATGAATAATGGAGATGGACAAAATGGATGGATTTTCTTAAAATTAGAGCTAGTTTATAAGATATACATATCTATATATATTTATATAGAATAATACAAAAGGATGTAACAACTACATTCCAATGAATTTGTATCAACACAAATAGCAGATGAATACTAGGTTAAATTTGTAATTAGATTTGTCATATTTCCCATTATGCAAAAAATTCTACCTACAAAAGCCTTTGTACCTAACAATATTGGCCAAAACTAATTTTTCTTTCAGCAACTATCATTTTGTTTAACGGACAAAATTCTAGTAATATTTCACTTTTATCAATGTCTGGTAATAAAAACCCTGTTTCTCCTTGATATTGACACATAAGAATTGTCTGACACTTAGTGGCTCTAATTTGCTCATTACGTGTCACTTAGTCATGCATGAATTGGGACATATTTGCAAGATTGTAAAGATATTTTGACCAATAGATAGTGTCTTTTCAAAAGCTTTTGAGACATGCAACTTTTGAGACGATACTTTTCATTGGTCAAAATATAGTCACCTTGTAAAGAATCCAATCAAATTCAACTTCCTCACCAACAGGAATGTTTCAAATGTATCTACAGCTTAAAGACACATAACTAATGAGCTGGCCATATAATTACTGCAATAAACTTATTTAGGCAGTGATATATATAGCAACATAAAAATGTTAAATGTCCAGCACTTCTAGATATTATACACAACAAACTAAAAACAATACCAAATATATCTACAATTTCAGTCAAATCAACAATTCTATAGTCAGTCATTGATATTTAAGCAAGTTTCAAAACATGAAGAGCAGTCAAATATATTGACTTTGATATTAATCTTAACATCAATTTTGTCGTAAATACAGTAACGGTACTTCTAAATGTAAAATACTACACTACCAACAAATTCTTATTGACACAGCTCTAGGGATCACTCAAAACATCATCATGTTTAGTCCACTTCATTTTTAGTCAGTAAGCTAAAAGTCAGACATGCATTGTTTCAATTGTTTTTGTCTTCTTCAAAATGAATGTAATGTTTATTTAGACAAGGATGTCCAGTAAAATTTCAGAGGTAAAATTAATGGGACTTTGTGTAAATTTTATCATTTTAAACTTACAAACCAGATATCATGTAATATCAATGACTGAATCACTAGATGAATAAATAATTTCAATATTTACAATCATTATGATATCATAGATATATTACTATACTGTGATATGCTAAGAATTAAGCAACTTGTAATAAATAAATTCTCAAGAGAATGGAATCTTCAAGCTATTATGAAGGTACTTGCCATTTGGATAGAATAAAAATATGTAAAAAATAACTTTGTACTTTCAATTTGTAAGTCATATATATTAATCATTTTAGTTTGATGGCAAATTATAGAGAAAAATGCATTGGTGGTTGCAAATATGATAATATTATATATCATTGGACTCATCTTAAAGAATTTCTTATCCTTTATGAGATAATTCAATCTGTGTTTTACTGACCCCAAGGATTATTATTGCTCTGTGTTTCTAAAGAATCTGAAAATAAAAGAACAAGAGCTAGAATTTGTTTGTTTTCTTACAAATTGGATGTGGTTCTTGTTGTTTACATATGGATCTTGTTTTCCAAACATGGATTGTCAATTTGATGTGGGTTTGTCAATTTCTTTTAAATTTTTTTAAATAGGGATCTGGAAAATAGAAACAATGAACTGGAAGTTAACAAACCTTGTAACTGTGAGCCATTTACACTTCTACCAATATTGGATTTTCTCATCTGAACCTCCTCTGCTGTCATTGGTCGTAAATCTCGACGAGATATTTTAACAGGCGTAGTAATCTGTGGTAAATCCGTACTACCACCATTTTGACTTGACTCTCGATGTTTACCACTGGTGGATCTAAAACAAACACATATTTTCATGTAGAAGTATTTGATAAGTCACAGACCATTCCCAGTTGTGTATATATATTATTTTTCACAATTTTACAACTAAAATGGTAAATCATTCTTTTAAAATGCAGCTGTGAAAAAGTTTCTTCATTCAAACAGCCAATTAGTAACTAGTTGAGACCATTTAAATATTGTTGCTCCCATCCAGTCAGAAAAGAAATTATTTTAAATTCTCAGCATGCCTTCTAAGATTGGTTGTGTTTAATGTTTCATAATCAAGGCCAACCTACCTGCGAGTGTTATCTCTTCTAGGGGTTTCAGCTATTGAATTCAACACTCCTAATTCTTCAAATACTGAAATACAAAGCAGAGACTTCAACTGTAATAGCTGTTGTCACATTGTGGTCTTAAATATCAAGCCTATATTAAAAGTTGCCTCCCTCAGGAGAACAGTAGAGGTGGCCTGAATGATGATAGTGATTAACATAAATGTGCTCTTTATTCAAATTTAGACTATTATCTGAAATGATTTATGAAATTAGAGAAATATTTGTTGTGAAAATCTACCTTGTGAGTTTAGTATTCCATTTGAAATCAAATCTCTGATTTTCTTCTTTAAATCACGACTAGTTTTCTTGTAATAATATAATTCTTTTTCTAAATGCTGTATTCTGAAAAGTTAAATAATAAGTCTGAAATAATGTAACACTGTTTGAGCAAAACACCAACAATCAGAACATTTGCAGCAGTCAGAGCTCTATTGACAATGGCCAATAACTGCAATGTTGTGCTCTAACCAAATGGGTTTGAAAAGGAATTAGGGCCCATTACCCCTAGTAATTCATTAAATTTATTAACATTGACAGCAAATAGAATTGTTAACCAATAATACCTATATTTTACCTACCTTAAATCTACTCCACCCTCACCATTAGCCATTCCACCACCTCCCTCTGTTAACTGTGTCATTAGCAATTGCATCTTCTGTTCGTACTCCCTCTGTTGTTTGGTTAATTTCCTGTCTATTTCTAATGTAGTACGTTGTAAAGCACTTTCTAGCTCTCGAATCAATCTTTCTTGTTCATCAACTTTAACCTGAAGACCAAAGATAAAAAAACACAATGTATTTACTTACAAAATTTTTTGAATATTAAATGACACAGATCAAGACATGCATAGCAATTTCATCGGATCAAGAAAAGAAACGGAAAAACACTTCAGATTTGTATTTCAATCAGATTAAAAATTATTTCAGAAAGACCATGAAACCCGAATCAAATTGGTCACAAACCTCATATTCACTACATGATAATTGAAGTTGTCTTTCTTCTTCTCTTAAACTTATCACTTTCTCAAAATATTTAGCCAGTAGTGATCTTAGTTCTGCTGTTTTTAATACGTTTAATTTATTCACCAAGTTTTCATCACTCTGTAAGATAAATATAAACATGGCTTTTGAATATTTCATAATGACCAAATTTGTTTTGTGGAATTTAAATACTACGTAAGGGTCTCATCTTACGCTGCTAACATGTTTCAGATACGAAATGCTCATCACAGCTGGTTTGGATATGGGGTTAATTTTGATACACTGGGACTTGAATTCAGTACAGATATATTTGATCCAAGGTGTTGATAACTTGTGTTTTAATGACATTCTAATTTGTAATAAGATATTTTACCTGTTGTGTAAGTAATTGTGATTGACGTAATTCAGCTTTCCTATTATTAATAGTATCTGTTTTATATTCTATAGCTGCATCTAACGCTTCTATAGCTTCATCTAATTCTATTAATCTAAATACAATAATAATACAAAATCTATCAGGATTAAATTTAGAGTTTTCAAACTATGGCTATTGAATGTCTTTTGTTAATTACAGGAACTACAGACATGTAATGAAAAATATGGAATGTCCAAATAGATGCCATAAATTGCTCTCATACACTGGATTTATAATTCCTTAAAGGTGATTATACAGTTTATTTTATCCAATCAGATCCTTCTATTTCTAGAAATTATGAAAGTTATATTTTTGAGAAATACAACAAGAGCACATTT